CAACACATCTTGAAGAACACCAGTTACGGAAAAGGTAACTGTCTTTTTACTTCCAGATCACTAATGAAAATGTCAAATAGTATTGGGCCTGCTGAACCCCATAACCCCCACTCAGTGATAATTTCCCATTGAAAGTTATTTTTTGAGATCTCTTACTTGCCCAGTTGTTTATCCATTTAATGTGTGCTCTATTAATAATGTACAGTGCTAACTTTTAAATCAGAATGTCATGCAGTGCTAAGTCAAATGCCTTACAAAAGTTTGTAGTACATCTACAGTTACTTTTAACAACCATCAGGGTGCATTTGATTTAAATCACTAGTCAGGAAGACTCGATTTAATCATGGATTTCTACATAAAAGTGCTTTCTTGTTGGTTGATATAACCTTAATACATATTCTTCACAACTCAGAGGTAGATGTAGGTTTCATTTTTAGAAGGTACACACTATACATTTTTAAACCGTGATTTATATTGAAAACTTTTCAGATTACTTTTACAGCTATTTCAGAAAATGAATGATGGTTTGGTTATTTCATTTACCAGAAGTAATTGAAGCAGATATTTATGAAGTCATTGGGAGGTGAACTATCTCCAATTCAACAGGTTAATCATTAATATTTGGAGGATTTTCTTGCCATGCTGTATTAGGAGGAGAACATCACCAGACAGACATTTAAATGTTTTATTTAACTAAAACAACAACGTTATGTAGTCTGGATTTTTTTCTTCAACAGCAAACATAATATTTTAACAAAACAAGCATATGTCTCTCGCTTCTCACATTTATCTCCAGACTTCTTCTCCTTGTCCAGATCTTCCCCCCCCCCAACAATCTTCTATTCATTGAACTTTTTGAAACTTTTCACTTTTAGGGAGAGGTAAGGGATTGACTTTGTGTACACAAATTTGTAGAGGGACAACAGGGTTGAGGTCTGTTATTTCTCACCTCTATATATTATTTATTTATTTAAAAACACTTTTACTATTAACAAGCATGTTACCTCTGGGGAGACAAATCCACAGTTTGAGAAGTGCAAAACTAAGCATCTCTGATGGTATCTTCTAGACTGAGCACTGAGTCCCATTGGGTAGATAGAAAGATTAACCTAAATAATCTATACAGAAGCTTGTGGAACCCCATAAGATTGGGTCCCTAATCCATGAACTATTGGAACTCATTTACAAAACTTTTCTTAAACATTACATTAATATATTGTCTCATACTATAGAATTTCGATTTAAATGTAAAAAATGATTTTTTTAAAAAATAATTGATTTTTATCCACCGTCAACCATACTCGTAATCTCACCAAAGAATGAAATAGCCTTGTTTGACAAGACCTATTTTCTATAAGTCCTTGTTGACTGTCATGAGTTATGTTCCTGTCTTTTAATTCTTTATCAGTTGACTCCTGTATCAGCATTTCCATTCCCAGAATTCATATCCGGCTCCCTGGAGTATAGTTACCTGGGTTATCCTGCTTGGCTTTTTTGAATATTGACAAAATATTAGCATTGTTCCCGTCTTCTGGAATTTCACTGATATTAAGATTTATTAAATATAACCATCAGCAGACCAGAGATCTTCTCAGCATTATGTTGCTCTAGCCTCTTTTCACTGTTATCAAGCTGCTTTATAAGGAACTCATTCCAGTTCTGAGCATCAGATAGGTCACTTTAATACACCCACCATCTGTGAGGGTGGAGGAGGTAGGGCGTCCTCTGGTAAAAAGAAGCATGTTTTCCTTCTTGGATTGAAGAGAATACTATACCAGCTAATCAAGGGCTAATATTATGGTTTATGGGGTTTAAACTTGCCTTGCCCAGTGCCTCTTATAATTAACCCATAAAATGAGAAAGCAATGGCGAGGGAGTGTGAGAGACTTTTTCATAGAATCATAGAATATCAGGGTTGGAAGGGACCTCAGGAGGTCATCTAGTCCAACCCCCTGCTCAAAGCAGGACCAATTCCCAACTAAATCATCCCAGCCAGGGCTTTGTCAAGCCGGGCCTTAAAAACCTCCAAGGAAGGAGACTCCACCACCTCCCTAGGTAACGCATTCCAGTGCTTCACCACCCTTCTAGTGAAATAGTGTTTCCTAATATCCAACCTAGACCTCCCCCACTGCAACTTGAGACCATTGCTCCTTGTTCTGTCATCTGCCACCACTGAGAACAGCTGAGCTCCATCTTCTCTGGAACCCCCCCTCAGGTAGTTGAAAGCAGCTATCAAATCCCCCCTCATTCTTCTCTTCTGGAGACTAAACAATCCCAGTTCCCTCAGCCTCTCCTCATAAGTCATGTGCTCCAGACCCCTAATCATTTTTGTTGCCCTCCGCTGGACTCTTTCCAATTTTTCCACATCCTTCTTGTAGTGTGGGGCCCAAAACTGGACACAGTACTCCAGATGAGGCCTCACCAATGTCGAATAAAGGGGAACGATCACGTTCCTCGATCTGCTGGCAATGCCCCTACTTATACAGCCCAAAATGCCGTTAGCCTTCTTGGCAACAAGAGCACACTGTTGACTCATATCCAGCTTCTCGTCCACTGTGACCCCTAGGTCCTTTTCTGCAGAACTGCTACCTAGCTATTTGGTCCCTAGTCTGTAGCAGTGCATGGGATTCTTCCGTCCTAAGTGCAGGACTCTGCACTTGTCCTTGTTGAACCTCATCAGGTTTTTTTTGGCCCAATCCTCTAATTTGTCTAGGTCCCTCTGTATCCGATCCCTACCCTCTAGTGTATCTACGACGCCTCCCAGTTTAGTGTCATCTGCAAACTTGCTGAGAGTGCAGTCCACACCATCCTCCAGATCATTAATAAAGATATTAAACAAAACCGGCCCCAGGACCGACCCTTGGGGCACTCCGCTTGAAACCGGCTGCCAACTAGACATGGAGCCATTGATCACTACCCGTTGAGCCTGACGATCTAGCCAGCTTTCTATCCACCTTACAGTCCATTCATCCAGCCCATACTTCTTTTTAGGAAAAGGATGTTTCATGTTTTCAGTAGTGATTTATCAAGTAGCATTTAAAATATATGCTGTTTACATATGATTATAAAAACCCCTTCAAATGTCTCTGGAGCGTTCTCGGTATAGGCAAATGCCAAAGTCATTTTGGAAAATGGGACATGGGCACAGTAACATTTGGAGCTGCCCTGGGATAATTTATGAATACTGTGTAATGTACTGGTTATTGGGGTGTTTATTGTATGACTACATTGGCTTAGCTGAACAGGAATCTGTCTGATTAACACAGATAGAAAGAAAAAGAAGGGTTCAAGATAGGCCACCCCCAGCAAACACTACAATTGTTAAGGGACCATGTCAGAAACATTGGCTCTGAGGACTCTTGTATAATCTCCTGCTGAGTCTAGAGGACTGGTTTTAACCAGAAGGGCTTAAAGCCCAGAAACACAGAAGAAAAAAAGAACTATAGCAGGGGGGTTGTTGTCGGGGAGCCAGACTGAGACACAGGTATCTGCTGGGGTATCTGGAGATGCTAGGCCTGCCTAGGTTACCATCAGGGAATGGGTAGCTTTTGGGCAAGATAAACATGCATGTAGGCTATTTATTTTTTAAAAGCTTTGTTTCAGTTGGTAAAATAAACAATACTTTTGGTTTAAGAAGGCTGTCTGCTCACTATATTCACCACTGGTCACTGTCTCCTAAAGGGAAAAAATGCAGGTGCCCGAACTCAATCAGACCAACTAGGTAAGAACAGTTAGTATGTAGGATACGGTAGCCCAGATACAGTCTGGGAGTGGGAGAATTGCGAACTTTCAATCAAAGATGGGTAAAGGCAGAGACCTGACAAGTGAGGTGGTGCACTCTAGAGAGACCAGAAAGGGGACAGATGTCAAGCTAGCCCTGTAATCGTGACAGGCATATCAAGTTTTATCTCAAAGCTTCATTCTCCCCGCACTGAACCCCTCATTCATGTTATAACCAGAGCTTATTTTCATGCAAATGATCAAAATATCTATAATCTTTAATAGATGGGAGTCAGTTTATCATAAACTATTTGCAAATGTTTCTTTTAGGAGCCCCTTAATAGTGAAGATGATGTGAGTGATGAGGAAGGACAAGAGCTGTTTGATACAGAGAATGTTGTCGTATGTCAGTATGATAAGGTAAAATCTCTAAAAACAGAATTTTTATGAATGTTACTTTTCCTTGTTCCTCTTTCTCTGCTCCCCATCAAATCATGAATTTAAGCTGTATTTCAGTGTGTGTATACATGGGGCTATAAATATCTTAATATTTAGTGTGATCTGATATTGTATATTTTAACATGTGAAACGCTATATGTTTTCTATTATCTCCAACTTGTATGTCTGCTTGCTTCTTGAAACTCTGTTATAAGCAAGGCTCAGTTAAAATTAGTGGTTGAACTTATTTTTCTTCCAAACTGTCTTACCAGTGTGCCTGAAAAAGGATTACTTCTTTGGGTTGGCAAGTCTTGGTATGTCTTCATACACTGCTAACAAAAGTGTCAGTTGATGCCAGCTATGATGGGTTTTGTATGATGTGGACAGTTGTCCACTGAGACAAGAGACTAAACAGCCATCCAAAGAGAACAATCTTTGGCTGCTATAACTCTGGATGGGAAATCACAACACACAGCCTTTCTTTTCTACATTCAGCTAGCAATCCCCTAGGTAGCTAGGTTCCTATATAGTGGCTAGCTTTTTTTTAAGAGCCTTGGGCTGGAGATATGATATTGGGCAAATAAAAAATAAATAAATCATAAGATGTAGAAGCAGAAAACCCCAAACTCACTGCAGGTTATGATTGGTGAGATGTTCAGGTGGATTTCCCTCCGTTGTTTGGCTGAAGATTGGGTTCATAGGACCACAATGTATTGATTACATGAAAAAGACTCTTTTTACAGTGGAAAAAACTAAAACTTGAATGAAAATTTTTTTTAGACGTTTCAAAAAACAGGAAAAATACCTGAAGTTGTAATGTTCATTTACATCCAAACCCTAGACCCTGCTCTAATTGCAGATTCAATATGAGGGTAGATAGGCTGGTTGAATTTTGTTCCTATATTTTCTGGTGTTTTGAAGTAGGTTAGTGCTTAATCTTCTGAGCAGTATGGTTCTACTAGATATGTTCCAGTTTTGGCACTGCACCGTTTAACAATTTCACATGTGAACTACTGGTTTGGATAGCTTTATTAGACTCTTCAGAGGATGGGGCACACTTAATTAGACTAGAATGCAAATCCTCATTACTTGGCCAAGCAGGTTTTCACAAATTTACCTGTTAACATTTCAATCTGGTGCATTTCACTTCAGCTGTCATCTTTAATGATTTTTGGCTAATCTTGTGTTAACATACTAACAGAATCCACCAGAAAGTCTGCAAAGTAAAATAAGCTCCTTTGCCTGGCAAATAATAAACGTGAAACTTCACTTTCCTTTTGTGGAGGATAGTGATAAGTTAAGCTATTTGCGTGAGCGAGAAACTCTGGGGGGTCTTGGATAGTCACTACTCAGAACTTGACACACTTTCTCTTACATTACTGTTGTCAAAGAAAATATCCTTTGGGCAGCTGGGAATCTGGAAAATTGTGTGCTCAGGTGTTCTCTCGTTTACTATGTTGATGGGTAAAATATTTTGAATGGATGATGAAAAGCCTATTTATCCCTAAAATTACTATGTATGTTGAGCTAGTTGGGTGATTAATGTAATTTTTACCTTTTAAGATGCATGTGGCTAAACCCGCTTGCATGGTACAGTTTGGCCAGTGACTGTACACTTAAATACTATTTGGAATGAAAATAGGCCTGCAGTAGAACATATCATTTTAATCAAATTTTTACAAGATACCAGATATCCCTTGTGTGGGCATATTTAATTAATCAAGTCAATGTATAAAAGAAATAAATGTATACTTCATGTAGCTTGCAGCCAAAATTGAATGATCAGTGCTTTTAGTTGTACTGTTCTCACTGTATTCTGGGAACGGCCAGGTCTTTAATTTTTTTGTGATTCAGTTGATAATTAAATTCACTTAGGCCTGGTCTACACTAACACCCCAATTCGATCTAAGGTACGCAACTTCAGATCTAACGTAGCTGAAGTCGACATACCTTAGTTCGAACTTACCGCGGTTCAGACGCGGTCCACACGCGGCAGGCAGGCTCCCCGTCGACTCCGCGGTACTCCTCTCGCCGAGCTGGAGTACCGCAGTCGACGGCGAGCACTTCCGGGATCGATTTATCGCGTCCAGACCAGACGCGATAAATCGAACCCGGAAGTTCGATTTCCAGCCGTCGAACTAACGGGTAAGTATAGACCAGCCCTTAGTGACTCGTTTTGAAAGCCTTTTTTCTTACTGGTTTCCATAGTTACTAGTTTCTCTTGTTGGAGAGTCCAGTTCATTCTATTTTTATTTTAGACTACTTTTGCCTTAGGTGTCTCTTTGTTGTTACTGTTTCCTAAGGGGAAGACTTTTTTCTAAGGCACAAAGGCTAGTCAGGCACCCTGCTCCTACTTGTCTTTGAAAATCTCCCCTTATTTGTATCCTAGTAGTATCTGGAAGGATCAGGGCAAGGCATGCTATACATCAGGGGTTCTCATACTTCTTCTTTGAGGCCCCCCCTTACATGCTATAAAAACTCCATGGCCCACCTGTGTCACATCATCTGGTTTTCTGCATATAAAAGCCAGGGCTGGCGTTAGGGGCTAGTAAGCAGGGGGCACCACGAAGCTAAGTTTCTCAGGCTTTTGCTTCAGCCCCAGGTGGTAGGGCTCCGGGCTTCAGCCCCATGCTGTGGTGCTTCGACTTTCTGCCCTGGGCCCCAGAGAGTCTTAACGCTGGTCCTGTTTGGCAGACCCCCTGAAATGTGCTTGTGGCCCCCCCGGGGCCCTGGACCCCTGGTTGAAAACCACTGCTATACATGATGAAAAAGAAGCCCCGGACAGATTGCTTACAATTGACATAACTTAAAAAAAACCAAAACCTAAAATAAAAGCAAACTAATCAGGCATTCCCAATACAGTAGAACCTCTGAGTTACAAACTTACCAGTCAACTGCACATCTCCTTTGGAACTGGAAGTACACAAGCAGCAGCATAGACAAAAAAAGCAAATACGGTACAGTACTGTGTTAAACATAAACTACTAAAAAATAAAGGGAAAACAGCATTTTTCTTCATAGTAAAATTTCAAAGCTGTATTAAGTCAATGTTCAGTCGTAAACTTCTAAAAGAACAACCATAACATTTTATTCAGAGTTACGAACATTTCAGAGTTAGGAACAACCTCCATTCCCGAGATGTTAGTAACTCTGAGATTCTACTGTAAAAATGGATTTCTACATTCCCAGTTCCGACAGGAAAAGGGTATTCATTCATGTTAGAGATGGATAAAGATTAAATTACCTTCCTCGCTCTACCATAAAATGTGTTATGTGCCTTGGATTTCACAATTATTATGGATACAGGGTTTATTTATGGCTCCTGTGGGAACTTGCCCTTGGCTAGAAAATGAGCCACAAATGCTGCCAGATGTGCAGTAACACTGTTTTTTATGTCAGATCCTGGGTTTAGATCTCCATACAATCAGTTGTGACCAATCATTATCTGGATTTTCTTTTCCTAACTTGTCAATTTAGTCCTGAAGTTGCTACTTGTTTCTGATACAGAGTACTATTTCAGTATGTATATTTTGTTTTTTAGATCCATAGAAGTAAAAACAAGTGGAAGTTTCACCTCAAAGATGGCATAATGAATCTCAATGGAAGAGATTACGTATTTTCCAAAGCCATTGGAGATGCAGAATGGTGAAGTTTTTAAAACAAAAAACTAGAAAAAAAGAAAAATCAGAAAGGGTTGAGACTTGGACATAAACTTCAACCAAAACTTATGTCTGCACATCAGAAAAGAACAGTACAAACAAAACTACCGCAGCAAAGGTAGAGCGTGGCAACATAGACACTACTACAAATGGGCAAGCCATGGGACTGTAGCAGCTAGCATTGTCTGGGATACCTTAGGGATATCTTAATTATCAATTCTATATACAGGTACCTGCAGCTGGTAATTAGCATGTAAGGCTTTGTCTCCTCCTTCCTCCCCTTGGGTTAAGGTTTTAAAATTTCTTCCACTGAACTGAAAGAACTCTTCCCTTTTGATATACTCTTAGTATGACAATGCTTATGTGTACACAAATCTTTGTTTTGAACACTTCCTTTTGGTAGTGAGGGTGGTCAGAATATTGTTTGAACGGCATGCAGGCTTTGTACAGAAGAGTAAGAATTAAGGTGATACATTTTAATTATCTTGTATAACAAAAATATTTTTAATTCTGCTATAGTCATGTATAATTTTAACTACAGTTTTTTCTCAGTTCTTCTCCCATAAACAAATTCTCATTCCTAGCAGTTACAAAATGTAAAATGATTACTTATATTTTCCAGCCATTTCAATTTGACACGAATTACTCTTCTTTTCAAAAGTGCTGAGCACCTGTAGCTCCTTCTGAAAAATCAAACCACTTACTTTATTTTTAAATATATTCTTAGCATTTGAAGTGGTTCAGCCTGATGGAGCTCAGAGGACTCTGTGGTAGCTTTCCTTCATTTCTTTAAAAGATCAGTGTCTTGGAGACCTTGCAAATGAAAACTCCAGGTATTCTGATCTTAGTGTATGCATTCCTCTAACCACTTACAACATTTACAACCCAGGCATCCATGAGTACTATTGGACAAATACTACAGGAATGACTATAAATTGGATAAGGGAAGGTTTTATAATACCTTAGCTGAAGTTCTGCTAATCAGGAAACAGAGTTTAATTGTAAAATACCCTGTAATTTTTAAGTATATTCTTATTGACAAGTTAAGATGTGTTGCAGGTAATCTGTTTAAAATCTCCAGGTGACATGCAATTTTGGTGGTTTTTGTTTTTGTTCTTTTTAAAAGAAAGCATCAGTGAGGAAATAGTTTATTTTTTAGAGTAATGTAAGCAAAAAATTAAAATAGAGTGTGTCTTAGTAATGCAAAAATTAAGTCATCACATATGCTAAACCCTAACGTAATTTCACTGGTCTGAAAATGACATGTCATAAATAGCAAAAGGTTTTTGCTGTTGAAGGCAAACACATCTTTTCTTCATGTGGTGGTTCTGCTTGCAATCAGGCTTTCAGGAATGGCGTCCCTGCTGCAGCAGAGAAGAGGGAATTGGAATTATAGATCAGACATTTCCAACGAAGGAATGAGCATGCTTTATGTGGCTTCCCATTACAACTTAATAATGTTCTTACTAGCTACCTGAAAAGCAATGAAAAGAAGGCACAGGAAGGTAAATTTAACTCAAATTAGGGAGAACTGCAGAAGCAGAGACTTTACCCACTACTTCTTGGCTTTTGTTCTTGCAAAATGAAACTTTTTTAAAATTGTTTTTAACAAAATCACAAGTGTATTTAATCAGCACTGTATATTAACTGCCTTCTGTTTCCCTTACCTGTCTTTCTTTACTGACCTCCAAGTGCATTCATAGTCTCAGTAGCTTACAGGAAATTCACAGCACATTGCAAGGAAAAAATCTGAGCAGTTACATATGTTTTTGCACCTGTGGTGTCACTAAATAGAACGAAATTGTCCTTAATTCACATGTAGAGCCATATGTTTATTAGTAAACCACCTGGTCTGCATACATTGTAAATGTCATTAAAGTTCAATTTCTGGTGTTACTAACTCACAGGTAATTAATGCTGTAATCATTTAGGATACAAATTTGACTCTGGACTTCAAGGTATCTCAAGCTGAGTGGTGTTTTCTTTTTCTCTGTACAAAGCAGAAATTTTGTGGGTTTTTTAAATGTGCCACTGTACTTTTAAAGCATATGTGATTACAGTGAAATCAATTACTTATCAACTAATTATTGCCCTTGCTTCTCTTGTGTATCTTTGAGTAGTGTTGATGGCTATCACGAGTAGATTCATATCCTTTCAAATTACTTAAATATGGACTTAGAACAAATCCCATATGCTGCACAAATGAACCAATGAAACCCCTTTAGCTACAGATTCCTGTTTATACTACTGGAACCCAGATTACTGTACAAGATATTTAGTCTCTTCTTACATTTAGAGTCCTTCACCCACATGTTTAGAGCAGACATTACATAGCCTCTTTATTTATTTTAAGGGATACCACAGCTTTAAAGATTACTTAAATTTAGTTAATCTTGAAGGACGTTTAGAAACCATCTATACATGCACAGTGTCTTGCAAATTAATTATGGTATGCTTGGCAGATGAGGGTTTTGGTCTTTTAATACAAGTACCTGTGAAATCTTCTGAAAGCCAGTCAAATATAAACATACCAAACTGTGCTCTTATTGCTATGTCAAGTGTTCCTTTTTTAAATCAGAAAGCATGTTTTAATTTCATTTTATTGTAGCAGCTTGCTGTAAGAATGTAGTTTGCTTAATTTTATTATTGTACTTGAATTTTAATCATGGTTTTAATGTTGTAATTGAACAGACCATTTCATTAGGTTCCATAGAAACCATTCCTTTCAGAGGGCAAGGGATTCCCATGTTCATAGTTTTTAAATTATTAATTTTTTTTCTTGAAAGTAGAAAATAGACTTTTCATTTAAATAGTTCAGTATTATGAAGGCAATTAACGGTTTCAAGAGGGCTTATGTTTAGATTTGCACAGATAACAGAGCACCTTTTTTGACTCTAAGATGGATAAAATGGGGATGATAACTTCATGGTTAAAATATTAACCATGAGGGCTAATGGAAATTTACAGAGCAACTGGACAAAGTTGGGAGTCTTGTGCCTTCTCAATTTGCAGATATTCCTGCTTTGTCAGCATGATGATACTCGAGGTCTATTGGATTCCTGAGACGGTAGATGTCCTGCAGTGCTTCAGTCATAAATAAACATTTCAGCTCTAATTATATTGGCTTTTTAGTGTGTGCAATCATTTAATAAAAACATCAAAGTTGAAAAGGAATAAAAATGTTATTTGCTAAGAAGATAATAGAGACTTAGTCACATAAGGAACTTTATATTGGACTATTTAAATAAAATTTATAACTTTATTCTCTCCTGCCCCCAATGTTAGTGGCAAAATGTCTGAGGTTTCATCCACTTTTTTCCTGCATTGTAATTACAAGCTGCTTTTTGACCTGAGTAATTCTCCTAGCAACAGACCGTGATTTTACAAGTATAACGATTTTCATCGCAGGTTTATTCTCAAAGGGAATAGATTTGCTTCTGAAGCACAGTTGGTGGAAAAGAGCAAATAACATATTAAATGTGATATAACAGTTTTGTATCAGTGTTTTTTTCTTTTCTATTTTTGATGCAGTGTAAGAGTCAAGTAAAGTTTGCTGGGTTTTAGTTTTGTTTTGTGAAAGTAACTGTATCATCCATCAATACCCAAAAGCAATTATGTCACCATAAAACACTACCAGGATAAAATTTTGTTATTCCAATGCAGGAGAAAAATTAGACCCTTTTCACTAGAGTTCACTTTGAAGTTTGTCTTCCATTTGAAAAAGTTCCTTTGTTGTTGTTTTGCAGAATGCAATAAAATGTTTATTAGACCTGTGGCTTTAGGGTACTGCACACTGTGGATTTTTATTGGGTCGCCTTATACAGCTTTGCAATTTTTTATAAAGATTTAATTCAGAATTGTTTCAGATTTTGAGTTTAGTGGTTACAGAAGATGGGGAAACTTGTATGTTGTTACATTTGTGTCTTTAGTCTTGGTTTCCTATTATTCTGAGTGCCTGGGGCATATGTACAAGCCAGGCCTTTTCCCCTGCAAATCAAGCTACTGTTGCCTACTCTTTTTCATGGTTCACTTTTTAAAATTCAGTTTGGATTGGATATTGAGGACAAAAAGGAACTTTTTTAAACAGGAAGAACTATTTTGGATTAGCTACATGTGTAGCCATCTAAAGTTCACTTGTTCCAGCGTGCATTGGGTACTAATAAAAATATGGGGAAGGGGAATATCCTTTTTTGCTGTTCTGAGCTACTATTGTCAACTGCTGTTGTACATATACTGTTATGTGTAAGGGGGTAAATATATTTATTATGTTTGTAAAATTCATTCTGTACAATTGCAGATCAAGGTTGCTCTTCTGTGATATACAGGATATTATGTTTCAAAGGCCATGCTTGGAATACAATTAGAGAACTTAGTATTTTGATGTACTAAGACCTATTTTAAGTTTAATATTTTGCCTTTGCAAAAACTTTAATTAAAGATGTTATTTAAAAAATAAGCTTGCCATTTTATTTACTATTTTCTGATGCATTAAATAGTTAGACATACACAATTGTTTTAACTTGGACAGGATTCTGTAAGTATTTTCATAATCTAGTGAATTTTATTCAAAGCAAGAAAAACACAAATGTTGCCCTTTTAATCACTGAGGTGAACTTGCTGTGTAGTCTCTTCCATTTAACATGGCTCACAATGTTATGAGAAGTCAGTTTTCATTTTGAGGTTGGAGGTTCAAATCAGCACAAAGTCTTCTTTTGCTGGTAACCTAAGCAAGACTTACACCATGACCTTTAGTGAAGGAAAAAAGCTAATAAAATAGCCCAGTACACCTAGATACTTAGTCTGAAGAACTGGAAATGCAAGATGAGCTTTGGATGCAAAAAAATTTTCTGAACGTAAGTCCTATAGCTTTGGCAAATGTATTTCACTAGTGAAGTCAGTATTTCCAACCTGACCAGATGACATATCTTTAGTCCTTGGCAGAATGTAAGTCTCTTAAGGCTAATGATTACCTTGTATCAGCATCATTAAGCTTATTTTTAGATGATAGGACTCCACTCC